CTAAGGCCCATTAACATTTACACTTTTATATGAAATTAGTGCGACAAGGTTTGATATATGTCTATGATTTGTCCATACTACATTGGTAACATTACATCGGAATTGTGGAGATCTGTTATAAATCGAATGAAAAATTCAAGCTTTTTTGTCTTTTTTTGACATTTACGTTTAAAGCGTTTAGTATATGGATTGGCAAGAAAAAGATAGACAGAGACTGTTTAAAAATTTTGAAGTAGCTTTGTGAGAAATGAGAAGCTATCTGGTTCCAAAAACAGGTGAAACTCTTCTTCTTCCAGCTTCTTGCATTTCCTCTCCTGACAAAAGCGATGCCTCAGGCTCGAAATTCGATTTTTCTAGTTGCTTCTGAAGCTGTTGGATTCAAGAACCAAAGAAAAAAAAAACAAAAAGACTCAATGAATGTTAGACCAATTTGGGGGATAAGTCTTCTGGTTATATGAATCAGTCCTCGCTAGACTCGGGCAATCTCTCATTTAACAGTAAGTAAGACAGAACCAAAAGCCGTACTCTTTCTGATTGTATCGACAAGAAAGTATAAATACGGTTTTCTTAGTTTACCTTTTTAAGTATAGCAGACTGGTCATCCAGAGGAAATCTACGCATATACTTAAGCATCTCTAGTTGCTGCATTAAGCACAATCGAATATTTAGACACTGAACTTCATTGAAATTTTTTCATAGTAGCTGAGCTCAGCTGACATTATATTACCTGTTCTTGTAACTGTTGTTGTGCTTTCATTTTCTGTTCAAATCCATCTGGTCCAAGCTCAGCTTCTTCACATGCCATCTCCTCCCTGTCAACTGTGCATTAGCCTTCATAATCTAATTGCTTAACATTACGATAAGGGTAACAAGTTTCCGATAAGACCAACATCAGTAACTCCAGACTAGAAAAAAGGAGATGATGGTGCTTACTTAGCGAGAAACTTGTAGAAACCAATCATCAAGTCTTTATCGTTTTCATACGCCGAGTTAAGCTTTCCCAAGCAACCAATACCAAATCCCGGGTCTACGTTATCGACAGACCTTTCACTGAGCAAAATGGAATATAGGTGTAAAACAAACTAGTCAATAAAGCTCAAAGAGAACTTTACCAATTCCGATCTCCAAGAATATCTCTTCTTGAATCGCAGTTGTTACCGCTACAGCTTCCTGCATTGGATCAAGCAGTAGCAAATGTAAAAACATAGTTTTGGGTTACACTTTATCCATTCAAATTAGTCTTATTAACCATCAATGTACATCAAAAACCATATTTTGAAGAAGAATCTAGTCCATTCAATGGTGAATTCGTTACTTTCTACCAAAATCCATAAACTCAGAATTCACAAACTTAGCACCTGCTTATCCTCCACTGCTTCAGAGATTCGTTTCTTCACATCTGAGAAAAAAATAAAAATATAAAATTCTCAATGAATGAATCAATCTGAGATAAATGGATTCAGAAACAACAACTTAAAAACAAAACACACAATTACCAGATTGAGAAGTCAAGTAATCGAATCGATCAAAGAGATAAACCATCTGCTCTTTCGTCAACATCCCTGAGCTTTGCAGCGTCGCCATTTCCCAGAAAAAATATAAAAAAAACACTATCTCTTCCGTTCCGACCAGAAAATGTCACAATGTCGAACGCCACAAATAATAATATCAAATTACGAAAATACCCCTTGATTTCTATCCAATATTGTAATCATCATTTTTTTAAAATTACGTGATATTAGTTATGCTTTAAAGTTAGATATTT